GTCAGCGGGAGCGCTCCCCGCTGTGGGACCGCCGACAGCCCCGGCAACACCGCCCAGGGCGCGGGAGCCCGACCCCTGTGGGGTTCGGCCACTATTGCCCTTCGGGCGTGTCCCGAAAGCGTTGGGGATGCTTTCAGTCTCTCCTGCCCAGCTTTGGGGCGTCTCTTCCTTGGTCGCGGCACCACGACTGGGGCCTCAGCACTGGGCTCCCAAACCAAGAGGCTCTCCGGCACCTTTCCTGTTTTTAAGATACTTGGATTTGCTCCATCCACTAGTACGAAATGGTCCGTGCTGTACGCAAAGGGACACACTAGCTGCAGCCAGGGTCTGATGGCTCTGAAGTTACCCCCCCCCTCAGAACTTTGCCTCAGCTACAGATTTAAGCTTTCCCTGAGAGAGCATGCAGAAGGGAAAAGAGCATGGCTTAGGAATATATTTTCCTAAAAGCATTTTAGTTGACAGGAAAAAAAATGTGCAGATGGACCTAGACCTTCTTCCCCCATGGCTCTTCTGTTTTGAGAAACTTGCCTACATTACAAACCCATTTTTAAGGCTATCTGAGCCATGTTCTCTGCTTATTATGCCTTCCCCATGAAAAAAAACACATTAAGCTACTGGTTAGATATTGACCGGGTGTGAAACTCCCCAAAGCAGGAGGGATCAAACAATGCTGGGGCATGGCAACCAGGTGACATGCAGTAAAATAAGGGCCTCAACCTGCCTCTGTGTAACTGCTGAATTATCACTTTACACACACTAAGGTAAGACAGCCATTACTGCCCGAATTGTTTTCATTTTACTTGAAGACTCTAGTGCTGTCACATAAGTGCTGTGGAGTGGCAATTCTTACTCAAGTACCCCTAAGGAGTGTTTTCTCCCGCATAACACTTTGTAACAGAATTCAGTTTCAAGGTCCCCACAGCTCAAAAACTACTTAAAAAAACCCTCTAGGGTAAAACATCGTCCGTAATTAGCAAGCATTTCTATAACTAGAAGAGAAAGTGACAGCTTAAAGACAGGAGAAATGGTGATTGTTCAACACCTCCGAAGAGGTTTTATTTACACCTATTTGTTTGTCCTAGTATTCAGTCACATAATTCCCTTGAACATACACCCTTAGAGAAACCTCTACAGAGATCAAGCTAAATGTCCTTTAGTATCCGAGGTTAAAAATCTTTATAGATTTTTTAAAAAATCATGAATCACGGTCTTCAAATATCTGCTTCTCTTAACTCACAACCCTGTGAATCACGCCAGGATGTTGAGAGCAGAGCACAGCATCCAGTTTATAGGAACCATCCAAAAGAGCCCAAGCCCTTAGCCTTCTGCTACCACTATCACCCACTCCTACAGCCAAACAATGGGGTCTTAAAACACAGCACAGTGGAGTTGGGAGAATTTTCCCTATAAATCAGTACTGAAGGTACCATCTCCTTCGGTAACAAGGGGAAAAATTTATGTTAAAGGAAGAGCAGCACTAGAAAAATGTCAGAGTTTAATAAAATTATATGTACAACCTTCCCAAGTAAATGGCTGAAGCAGCCATAGGAGGCCCTACACCAGTGGTTTGCAGTAAGACAGGCAGACTTCATGGGTCAGATGGAACTCTAACGCTGGTGGATTAACTCAGGCCACACAGGAGCAATTTGGGCACATGTGCTCTTGGATCAAAGCCCAGGCACAGCAGAACACGTCTGGCCAGTGTTGTAGTTGCTCATCAGCCTTCTACCACTGCTGTCCACAGCTCTGAGCTCAGCTTCAAGCTATACACTACAAGGCTCTGTGCCTCACTAGTGCTCCCTACTGGTTGTGTAAGCTTCACTGAAAAGGGCATCTAGACCAGGAGGAGATCAACGCTAAATCCCACTAAGGATGGACAGTTATTCACATGGTATGAGACTCCCATGCACTGGCACTTACCAGTCTGGTTCTGCCTGTCATTTCACATTAAATGATGACACTCCAGTTCAAGCAGCACCTGCAGTAAGACACTTGGTAACAAGCAATATCTCCTACATAAACAGGCTTAGCTAATGTTTGTGCACAAAAACTAGCAGCAGTCCTAAGACTGCACTCAGAACTTCGCCCCACAGATACTAGCCTGTTTAGAAAAATGGCAAGGGTCATTTGAACACTGGCCATTGTTCAGACTTCTCAAACCAACAGAAGACAACTAGCACAGTAGGTATCATCGATATATTTCACCGCAGTTAGTGGTTGAACATTGAAGAACAAGCATTAACATATGCCACAGTGAACAGTAGAGAAGATGCCATCCTCAGCAGAGCTGACACAGGAGAAACATAGCACTTCAACTTTCAGATTTCATAGTGTGTCACCACTGGTGGCTCTTTATTGGGGTCTCCTCCTCTCTCCAGATACAGGTCATTGAAGGGATATTGCTTCGGTCCCTACAAGGAGAGATAAAAGAGTGTCAAATTCACCATTCACCAAGTAAATGTCTCATCCCACCCATACCCAAATCAAGGCTTGTCATTTACAACATATTTCTTAAGTGCTTCAGCAGGAAAGTAAATTCAGAGACACACTTCTTTGTATAAACCCATGTCCTTTAACAGAAACATCAAGGTGGTCTTGCATTTAATCTTAACCAACAGTTCATCTCTCAGCATGAGGATAATGCACAAGCTGTTTGTGTATTCCAATGTATTTTACAGAAGTACATTCCAAATGATCTAGATCATGAGACAACTGAAAACACAGGGCAGGAGAAGAGAGAAAAGATCTCTCTCAAGCAGATACACACTGGGAAGGAGAATACCTACAGCAAAGAATAGCTACTGGAAAAAGTATAGCTTAAAATTAGTTCTCTGTAGACATGACCTGCTCACTATGAAGTGGAACCTGTGAGCTG